AGTGGAAGGTGCCTAAAAACAATACTCAAATTTGTATTCTGGCCCCTACACATGCAAGCACACATTGACTTTCTCACACACAATAAAAAGAAATAAAAATCCAAAACATAAAGGCAAATACTGGGCTCTCACCAGACCTCCAGAGAGTGCCTAGTTCTGGCCTCCCTCAGGCCTCCCTTGGGTCTCCATTGGGCAGAGGACCTGAGAACTCAGGGACTGGCTGAGAGTCCCCAGACCCTGCCTCCACGTGGTGAAGCCTTTGCGAGGGAACTGACACTGATTCTAACCACTCCAACAGCTATCAAAATACTTGAAAGCAAATCCTGGATCCATCACTCTAGAGTCCAGCCTTGGAAGACAAAAGAAAAATGAGGAGGAACCCAATAGAGGGATGCTTTTGGAAGCCCTTGTCAAGAAACTCCAATGGACTCTCATATGAACATTTGAAAATTGGCCTGTTCTGACTTTTTGTTTTAGCTCCCTGTCTAGAACTTGTAATGCTAATTACTCTTTGCTTCTCCTTCACATCTCCTATTCATGATTCAAAGACTTTGTTTTCTCCTTAGAGATAAGAGTTATGCAATTTGGGAGTCTTTTAGATAGACCCACTGAAGGGGTATTCCAATGGCCTCATCCTGTGTTCCTGTTCAACATGGAAGAAGCCAGAGCAGTCTGCATCCCGGATTCCCTATTGGCAATTTGGGTTACCCCTTCAGAGGATGGTGTGATAAGAATAGGAGGTAGGAATTGGCTAGGCAGTTAGTGTAAAAAGACCCCCCAAAAGTAGCCAGTTTCTTGGCTAAAACTCACAATGTCCTTGGGCCTCTTAGCAACATAATCCATTCCAAAGGCCAAAAATGTCAAAAATATTTTTGAGCTTTTATTTAATCCTTAAAAGATTTTTAGGGTTACCTCTTCAGAGGGGGGGAATGTTAGAGTAGCCAAAAGCCCCATTAGAAAAAAATAAATAGGGGGCTGGAGAGATGGCTCAGAATTTAAGAGCACTGACTGCTCCTGCAGAGGACCCGGGTTCGATTCCCAGCACCCACATGGTGGCTACAAACAGTCCTTAACTCCAGTTCCAGGGGAATCCGAAGCCCTCTTCTGACCTCCGAGGCATTACACAACATGGGTGCACTTACCTACATGCAGGCAATACACACATACACACAAAATAAACATAATAAATAAAATACCTTTAAAAAATTCTAAAAAAAAAAGAAAAAATAAATCAAAGAAGGAGAAAGAGTACATGAAGTTATCAGAAAAAAGTGATGGGAAGATATGGGAGGAATTGGAGGGGAGGGAGTGGGTATGGATTTGTATCGAAACACCTTATATGCATGTATGAAATTCTCCATAAATTATTTATTTTAAAAAAATTCACCAAAAAAATGAGTGAATGAGTACATTTTACAAATACTCTGATTTGCTTCATTTTGCTTTTTTCAGGTGTGATGCAAATATTTCTATCATTTCTTTTGTTCCTTGATAGCATTTAAATATGTACAACCAGATCCCTGTTGAGCTTGAAAAACTAAGAATTAAACTCACATATATATATATTTTTTAATTTTTTTAGAAGAAGCATTTCATTATAGCTTTAACATACTCAATGTTTCCAGAGCAAACATACATCTCTTTCAAAAGTGGCTATAAAAATTTTAGGTTCACAGTTGAATTAATACAGTTATATAATATTGAAACTACTTGATTAGAAGAAGCATTTCACTACAGATTTAACATATTCAGTAACATACTCCAGAGCAAGAGTGCATCTCTTTCACAGGTGGGTGGAAGTTTCTAGGTTCACAGTTGAGTTAATACATTTATACAATATTGAACTCAGTATAAGCCCTGTAAGACAGAAAATTGAATGAGTTTTTAACTTTTAAAAAAGATCTCCATTTCATTTTAAAATATACTGTTTCTTACAGAAAGACTCATTGTTTTTGCTAATAACACTGAGATGTTGGTGTGTGAATCTCTAATCTGTATGTACCTGATTATTACTAGTCATAGTCGGTTGCACTTGGATCCTTGACACCTATGTATGTCTCTATTTTTTGAAAAAAAAAAAAAGGCAAATACTGCACAATTTCACTTAGATCTTTAAAGTCACCAAACTGTTACAATAAAAAAGGAGAATGGCAGTTTCCAGGAGCAAATGGGGGAGGGGAAGAAAGAAATTGTGTGTGTCAAGCTTCAATTATGTAAGATTATTAAATTCTAGAGTTCTGTTATATGCAACACTGTGCATGTAATTAACACTGTTGTGTGCTTAAAATGAGTATTGGAGGGTCATAGCTCAGTGTCAGACACTTGTTTAGACTGCCTGGTGATCTAGATTCAATCTTCAACACCATAAAGAAATTTAAGGTGATAAATTTTATGTTTTATGCTCTCTCTCTCTCTCTCTCTCTCTCTCTCTCTCTCTCTCTCTCCCCCCACCCCCGCCTCACACACACAAACACACACACCCTACTAGGAAGCCAAATGGTTATTTTCAAACTTAAGGGCGAGAACAAAGCATTTATCCTGCCTTTGTATATGGACTATATGTATCTCAGGAACCAAGTAGTTGAAGGAATGGCATCTGTGGTTAATAAATGAAGGAATGAAATCATTTAAGCTATTCTGTGCTCTATGATCATGAATATCTTTCCATCATCTAGTATCATTTTCAATGTCTTCTTGTCTTTAAGGTCTTCAATGTCTCCTTTGTTCAGTTTCTTAAATTTTCATTGTAGATGTTTTTCACCTCCTTGATTTAGGTGTATTTCTGGGTTGTTTGTTTGTTGAGATACGGTCTCCCTGTAGCCTCAGTTGGCCTGGAACTTGATGTGTAAACCATGTTGGCCTGGGTCTCAGAAAGATCCTCCTGCCTCTACTTCCTTAGTGCTGGCATTAAAGGCATGCGCCACCATGCCTGGCTATTGTTGGGTATTTTTAAAGGTTATTATGATGGAATATTTCTCTGGACTTCTTTCTCAGTTTGTTATTGGCTTAAAGAAAACCTAGTACTTTTTTTGTATTTACATATTTTAATTTTGTATTCTGTTCTACCTTTTTTACTGAAAGTGTGTCTCAGATCTAAGAATTTCTTTTGGGATTTTTAGTTTGTTTTTTTGTTTTGTTTTGTTTTTTTTAAACAGGGTCTCACTATGCAGCCCCGGCTGGCCTGGAACTTGTGATATAGATCAGGCACAGAGATCCACTTGCTCTGCTTCCCAAGTGCTGGGATTAAAGGCATACACCATCACACCTGGCTTTCTTTAGGACCTTTTAAAGGAACAGGCTCACAGGACTGGAGAGACAGCTCAGTGGTTAAGAACACTGACTGCTCTTGCGGAGGACCTGGGTTTAGTTCTCAGCACCCACATGGCGGCTAAGAACAGTCCATAACTCCAGTTTCAGAGGATCTGACCCTCTCTTCTCTGCGGGCATTGCACAACACGGGTGCCCTTACATACATGCAGGTAATACACTCATACAGATAAAATAATTTTAGAAATATTTTAAAAAGAATAAGAGCACTTCATCTGCAAATAGGGATAGTTTGGCTTCTTTCTTTCTTATTTATATCCCTTTTGTTTCTTTTTCTTGTTTGTTGCTCTAGCTAAGACTTTGAGCGTCATATTGGATAAGAGCAGAGTAGATGGGCAACTTTGTCTCATTCCTTATTTTAAGGGAAATGCTTCCCATTTTTCCACATTTAGTATGTTTGCTACAGGTTTGTCTTATATAGCATTTGTTATGTTGAGACAGATTCTTTCCATTACAAGCTTTTTCAGGACTTTTATCATGAAAAGATATTTAACTTTACCAAAGGCCTTTTTGCGTCTCTAGTGATATATTGTGATTTCTGTCCTTAAGACTATTTGTGTGTTGTAATACATTTATTGATTTGCATAACATTGCACCATACTTGCATCCCCAACTTGGTCATGGTGTATAGTTTTCTTAAATGTGCTCTTGAATTCAGCTTGCAAGAGTTATGTTGAGAATTTTTATTATAAAGTTTTGTTGTTGTTGTGTTTTTCCTCAGTTTTGGTGTTGGCCTAACACTGACTTCATAGAATTAGTTTGGTCATGCTCCTTTGCTTTTATTTTATAGAACAATTTGAGGAGCCTTGGTGTTAGCTCTTTTCTAAAAGTTTGGTAGAATTTAGCAGTGAATTCATCTGGTTCAGGCTTTTCTTTGCTAAGAGAGTTTGTATTACTGCCTCAGTATTAGTGCTTGTTATTGATCTGCTGCTTAAACTGTTCACATTCTCTTGACTTCATTTTGGTAGGTTGTATGTGTAGGAATTTATCCATTTCTCTATTTTCTATCATTTTTCTTCATTTGTTTTTGGGGTATTCATTCTAATGATCCTCTAGGTTTCATTGAAATCTGTTAAAACATACCCCCCCCCTTTTTTCAGAGAACCAACTCTGTGATTGGGTCTATGTATTGTTCTTTCAGTCTCCGTGAAACGATTAGGTTTTGAATTTTAACCTGGCAACTAAAATAGTAAATCCTTGAGATATACTTCAGCTGGTACTTTTCTATTATTCCTCATCATTCCAATACCAACACACCACCAACGTAGTAAAAGTAATATGTGCTGAATATCTAATGTACAATACCAATATGAGACCAATTATGCATTTCTTCATGGTATCTTGTTTCTAAAATATGGTGCTATATCGAATTTTGGAATGGTTTTCATCATTTCGGGAGGAAGAAACGGAAGTTCTAAAGGAGAAACTCTCATTCGGGAGCTTTGTTTAGGTGAACTGTTCACCACAAGTAGCCTCTGGATACAGCCTATGAAACCATTAAAAATTTACTTTGCCTTTAGAGGGAAACCAATCCTGCCTTCTGTGGAAGTCAGAACTCAATTTCCCAGGCCAGTTCCAGCTCTGGGCACCGCAATGACTTCTACATAGGCCACTTTTGGGGAACCTTTCGCAGGCGGATCCTTGCAGCTGAGGAACTGCTTCCGCCCGGCGGGTTTTGAACAGCGCACCGGGCAGGCGGGGCCTGCAGGAGAAAATGGAGTTGGTGCAGGTCTTGGGGCGCGGGCTGAAGCAGGTCACCGGCCACGGCGGACTGGGTGGCTTGTTACGGGTTTTCTTCAGGTAGGCGGCCAGAACTAGGCTCTGGATCTCTGGGGCTGGAATTGCGCTGACCGGTTCCTTGGAAAGGGGTCCGGGTTAGATCACCTTGGAGGCACAATTCTTGTCAAGGACAACCTGCCCAATCCTTGCAGTCCCCAGACCGGAGTCTCTGGCCCGGTTGTCCTCCGGACCCTCCCGGCGCAGTCTCTACACAGAGGCTGGGGCGAATGGGCTGCATCCTGCCCCGGGCCCCAGACAGTAATGAACATCACCAGACATCCACTTGACCTTGGGAAAGTTTCCCGCGCCCTTTAGTTCCCTCTGCACAGTAAAACGTTGAAGAAGGTGGTCGTAATTCCCTGTACTAGTGACCGACATCCCGACCAGCAGCAGCCGCTGTGGAAAACCGGTCCGAGACCCGAGTGAAGGCGGGGGCGGGGTGTGTGTGGACGGGACGGGACACGAGACATTTGATTTACGGAGATAAGTACTTTGGCTTCCTGACTTCCTGAAGGTTTTGCTAACTCTAGTGTCTGGGTGCAAGGATAGTAGATAAATATCCCTTTGAGGTAAAGATATTGTGTTTATATTTAGTGTAATTTAAGCACATCATTTGGGCCAGTTTATCATTCCCATCTTGTCTACATGACACTGGGGGCAACATGAGATCTCAGAACTCTTATTCTGAAAGTAGATTCTTCAGCATTGAGAGGTAAGAGTGGCCAGGTGATGGCCAGACGTGTACAACCAATGGCCATGCCCAGCGTCTCCTCATTCTTGAACTTGGTCGGCAACAGTTGCTGTTCTCACTTTAGCAGAATATGCATTTGAAACATTGATTCATTCTGAAATGTCTTCTTTTTTGGTATTTACAGGTCAAATGACATAAAGGTTGGTACATTAGTGGGGGAAGACAAATATGGAAACAAATACTATGAAGACAACAAGCAATTTTTTGGTGAGTTGCAGTATTTTTAATATGAATAATTGGATTGGGGTATATTTGAGTTTATTTTCTATATCATACAAGGAGCTTATACAATGCACTTTGAGCGGAATGCAGAACTCAGTAGAAAAATAAACAAAGATGGCCCAGTGGGTAAGGGCACCTGCTGCCTGACTCATTGACCTTGCCTCTGCCTCATCCCCCCCTCCCCTTTCCCTTCCCCCCCCTCCCTCTCCCCTTCCTCCTCCTCTTTCTCTTCCCCCTCCTCTTCCTCCTCCTTCCCCCCGCCCTCTTATGGGTGTCAGTTCTCTCCTTCCACTGTGAGTGTTCTGGGGATTGAACTCCAGTCAAGGCTTGGCAGCAAGCCCTTTTGCCCACTGAGCCATTTCACTGCCCTGGGTTCTTTTGGGTTTTTTTTGGGAGAGGGCTTCTCTGTCATCCAGGCTGATCTCTTACTCATCTTTCCTTCTGTCTCAGTTCCCTAGGTGCTGGGAAAATAGGAGTGTGCTATCACCATCAAGCTTTCTTAGTTATCAGTTCTTAAAATTAATTTCTCTAAAGAAAAAGCAAATTTTGATTGATAATCAGTTATTTCATTTAATATATCAGGTCACTTTTAAATAGCATTGGTCAGTAGTTGTTGATTATATGTTTACTTAGGAAAATCCGAAGTAAATGGAGATTACCTTTTACTTATTGGTTTAAGGTCCTTTAGAGGGATGAACTCAGCATTTCCAACTTGAAAGATGGGACAATGAAGGAGTAGACACAATTGCTATTTATTGTGCACTTTTATGCCTAGTTCATGAATGTCCAAAAGGATCAGAGGTATTTTTTAAAATTTATATAGAAATCTAGACTTCATGTATGGGGTTGTTATGACTCCATTTCTGCTCTGGTCTCTGAAGAAGTACTTTCTTTTCTGTGAATGCCCTGAGCAGACTGGACTGTATTTGCCCACCCTCTCTGCTCTCTTCTGCTAGGATGTTGGGGAGAAGCAAGTATTCTCAACTGTGAAAAAGTTTTGAAACCCACCCAAGGCTCAGTCCCCCTGATTTGTGTGGTAAAGCCTGGAGCTTGCCTTCATTAATGTACCCAGGGTGTTGTTATTCCCCAAACATTCCTGTTGTGTCAGAATACATAAAAATCTTTTAATAAAGAAAAAGGGGGGTTGGGGTTGTCTTTTTGGTGTTATATGTTTATGGTTTTAGAAAACGATTTTCATTTTCACTCATATCTTCCCCTCAGGCCGTCACCGATGGGTTATATACACCACTGAAATGAATGGCAAAAACACATTCTGGGATGTGGATGGAAGCATGGTACCTCCTGAATGGTAAGCTAAGTCAACATCTTATTTCATTTGATGGCAATATTTATTTCATGATGCAGTTTTTATTGACTAGTTATTTATAAGGCATTTAGTGGTGTTATGAGTCTGTCTCACAATGGTTATACAAGTTACCCTACAGCTTAGTAGACTAAAACAATTACTATCTTTCATAGTTTTTTGTGAATCAAGAGTTCAGACAAGGCAAAATAAGATGGCTTGTCTCTGCTCTGGGATATCTGGGACCTCAGCTAGGATTCTAGAATCATCTAAAGACTGTTCACTTAGCAGCTGGCCATTAATATTGACCATCAGCTAGAGGAGGCATTGCTGAAGCTATGGATTGGAACACCTTCATGTTGCCTAGACTTCCTCAGGTGAGTGCTTTGAGAAAAAGCAAGCAGAAGCTATATTGTCTGATTTTACTTTATCTTGGAAATCATCCAGTATCACTTCGATGCTCATTGGTTGAAACCATTAGAAAACTCTGCTCTGCTTCAACAGGAAAAAGCATTGATTATGTTTTCATGAAGGCATGTTAAAATGGTATTATATATCTGGAATCTATAGTGTTATGATAATCTGGAGGAAAAACAGTACGCCACAGACCACCTGTCTGAGTGAAGGGAAGGGCTCAAAGCACTCTGACTCTGATCTTCTCTACAACTTTGACTTTGGGCATGCCCCTCAACTTCCTTAGGGCTTCGTTTCCTTATCTATAAAACAGTCTTAAAATTCCTTAAGCCTCTAAAAAGTCTGTGGTTTCATAATATGCATGTTTTAAAACAAAAATGAAATTCTAAGTGCTCTCATAAACCAAATTTATATGAAATATTTGAGAACAAGTACTTATATCTATCTTGTCAGTTCCTGAAATAATACACAAACTCTCCATTTGGTCTAGAAATTTTTATTAACAAAACAAAACAAAATTTTTATTAACAATTTTTTATTAACAAAATTTTTATTATTATTAATTTAGTTGGATCTGGTGATGCAAGCCTGGAATCGTAGGGGCTGAGGCAGAAAGATAAGACATTTAAGGCTGGCTTGGGCAAGAGAGCTGGGGCTACAGCTCAGTGGCAGAGCACTTGTCCAGCATGCATGAGGCCCTGAGTTCATTCTCCAGTATTGCAAAACAAGCCACAACAAATAAATAAAACCATAAAAATTAATAATTAATTCATTAATGTTGATTGTGGCATTTTAATTAATTAATTAATTAATTAATTAATTTTTGGTCTTTTTGAGACAGGGTCTCCCTGTAGCCCCAGCTGTCCTGGAACTCACTGTGTAGACCAGGCTGGCCTTGAACTCACAGAGATCCACCTGCCTCTGCCTCCCAAGTGCTGGGGCTACAGGCATGTGCCACCATGCCTGGCTATGGCATTTTATTTTAATTGAACTTGGTTATCAAATAGATTAGGGCTCTATTAAGTAGAAACTGGGATAATCTCTGTTTTTTTTTTTTTTTTAGTGAATCAAGGTCTTCCTGTAGCCTCAACTAGCTTGGAACTTGCTCTGTAGACCAGGCTAGCTTCAATCTCACAGAGATTTTTCCTGCCTCTGCCTCCCGAGTCCTGGGATCAAAGGAGTGCACCACCATGTCCTGCTCCTTATTACTTTTGTTGCTGTGGTAAAACACCATGACTAAAAGCAGTTTATGGAAGAGTTTATTTTGATTTACCATTCTAGAGGGAGAGTCCATAATGGTGGTGAGGTGGGGGGCATGGCAATAGGTAGCCTAACACCTTCAATGGCAAACACAGAACGAACTGGAAGTGGGGCGAGGCTATACTCTCAAAGCCTGCTCCTAGTGACATACTTTCGCTAGCAAGTCTACATCTCCAAAAGGTTCCATGATCTCCCCAAACGGGGACCAGCTGTTCAAATACGTGAGCCTGTGGGGAACATTTCACATTCAAACCACCACAGTCTTGTAGTAGTCTCTTAATTCTGAAGCCCAGACATAAGACATTAGAAATTGAATGTGAATATGAGACAGAGAAGAGTCATAGGGAGGAGCTCAAAGCACAGACTCCACCAGGAGCTCCGCAGCCTTGTTTAGCTCTCCTAGTCTGTGAGGTGAGAATCCTGCCCAGGCTTTCTAGGTAATGATTTCTCTAAAGAAAATATAAATTTATATTTTGTAAGAGTTTTTATTTTTTAAATGTTAAACATTTTTGACAATTTAAGTGTGTCCAATAGACTTTCACAGTGATGGAATGTTCTGTATCATGCTGTCTAATACAGTAGGCGTACCTGACCCCAAGCACTTTAAAATGTGAATAATGCAACTAAGAAAATGAGTCATTTATTAATTTACACACACACACACACACACACACACACACACACACACACACACAATTTTTGAAACAGAGTTTTACACTGTAATCTAGGCTAGCCTGGAACCCATAGTGATCCTCTTGTCTCAGCTTCCTGAGTGCTAAGATTACAGACATGAATTACCACATTCAGCTTTTTATTTTTTGAATTTTATTTAAATTAAATAGGCTACGTGATTAGACAAAACAGTTTTTCAAAAATGCTGTTGACTAAAGAAAATGTACTTACAAGCCTTTTTACCCATTGGCAGTTTTTCACTTGGGCTAGTACTTGGGCTAGTTGAAACCATTAATGCTGTACAGAAAGTTACTGGTTCTTTTTTCTTTAAACTTAAAAAAAAAATTTATATATTTATTTTTATTTTATGTGTATGCGTGTATTGCCTGCATGTTGGTAAGTGCACCTGTGTCGTGCAATGCCCGTGGAGGTCAGAAGAGGCTGTCGGATCCCCTAGGACTGTAGTTATGGACAGCTGTTACCTGCCATGTGGGTGCTGGGATTTGAACCCTGGTCTTCTGCAAGAACAACCAGTGTTCTTAACCGCTGAGCCATTTCTCTAGCCCTGGTTGCTGGTTCTTAGTGTCAGTGAAAAAGCAGCAGTGACTTAGAGGTGGTACATTTGGAAATTGATTTGTGTGATGCTTTCAAGGGAAGTAATCTGTGACTCTATTATAAAGTCTGAGGAGCTGTGCTCTTAAATCTAGTGCTGCCAGTCTCTTCTCTGAGCCATAGTCTCAACTTGGAACTCAGGCTTTAGGAGCTGAAGGCCTGGCTAACTTTTGTTTGATGATTGTTCTGTGGGTGGAGTTGATTCTGAGTAGACATGGAAGGCATGTGACCTGTCTTGTTCAGACTGACGTCTGTCTTCTTCAGATACTAACTGTGGTGCTCAGGGTCTGCATTTTGAGGAAGGGGGAACAAAGTGGTACTGGTTTAAGTTATCTGAAATGAAGCCCATTTGAAATTATAGTTAAAAATCTGGGAACTGGAGTGGTGGTTCAGCTGTTAAGAGCACTGGCTACTCTTGCAGAAGACCTGGGCTCGATTCCCAGCATCCACATGACAGCTAACAACTGTCCATAACTCCAGTTCCAGGGGATCCAACACCCTCTTCTGATTTCTGCAGGCATTGCATGACATGGGTGCACCTACCTACAAGGAAGCAATGCACTTATACACATTAAAAATAATAAATATGTATATTTAAATCTGACAAGACAAAAGTACTATCAGCCAAGCAAGTCCTTTTATATATATGATCACATGTAAGATCACAGGGAAAAGAAAGTTGAGAGCTGTAGAAGATAAGATCGCTCTAGCAGATACTTGAGGGTGATAGAGGAAAGGAAGCTGAGTCTCTGTGTGGAGAAGAGCTTCCTATGGGCTAAGTATCTTTAATGGCTTTTTTTTTTTGTATGGGAAGCGTGCTTGTGATGAATCTTTATAGGATGTTGGACAGGCCCAGCTGTGTTTATTTCTTAGACCCCACTGTGCTAAATATGGCTTATTGTGGAATTTTCAGTTTGTGAGGCCTTACCTTTAATACCCCAAAACAAAACAAAGCTGATGGTGGGTGAGTTAATTTACCATTCATTTGAGAGCTAGTTGTTGTTACACACATAGAGTATGCATAACAACTTACCTTTAATACATGAATACATTTGAGGTGGGAGCTAGGCATGATGTTTTCTGCCTGTGATCTCCATATTCGAGACTGAGGCTGGAGGATGACCATGAGTTTAAGGCCCACCTGGGGTATGTTATGAATTGCAGAGTGAGATCCTGCCTCCCAAAACAAAACAAAGCTGATGGTGGGTGAGTTAGTTTACCATTCATTTGAGAGCTAGTTGTTGTTACACACATAGAGTATGCATAAACAACAGCAACCTAATCATCTTTTTTCATTCAGCTAAGAACTATTGTAGGCACTGGAAACAGAACACTGAATATGACAAGTACTTGCTCTCTTAGCAGAGAATATCATGACAGAAAACATAATATATAATGTGTGGTAACAACAGATGCAAGGAAGAAAAAAAACAACTTGTTCAGTATGAAACTAGGATTCCTAAGGGGATGGAGAACATGGGAAAGCTAGTTTTGTTTTTTTTTTGTTTTTGTTTTTTTCTTTTTTTTTTTGAGGCAGGGTCTTACTATATAGCCCAAGCTGGCCTTGAGCTTATGATCCTGCCTTAGCCTCCTGAATTCTAGGATTATAGGCATGCACCACCATGCCCTGTTTAAGAGGTTATTTTAATACAAGGATTATGGAAATCTTCCCTAAGGAAGTGACATTTTAGGAAAGACCTAGAAGAGGGAGAAAAAGAATTCCAGGCAGTAGCTGGGCGTGGTGCTCATACCTTCAGTCCCAGCACTTGGGAGGTAGAGGCAGGCTTATGAATGTCTGTGAGATCAAGGCCAGCCTGGGATACATAGTAAGTTCCAGGCCAACTGGGGCTACAGGGAGACCTTGTCTCAAAAACAGCCCAAAAGTAATTCCAGGTAGAACTCTTCTGTGGATGCTTAGGCCTTGGTGTTTGAGGTGTATTGCTTGATATGTTAAAAGAACAGTAGTGTGGCCACTTTGGCTGGTGGATAATGGGTGAGGGGAAGTTAAGAAATGAGGAAGGAGAAATAACTGTGTCCCAAACAGGTAG